TTGCATAAATAGCCAGCAAAGTGTGGCAAATGCCCAGAGGGCTTCCAGCGAAGTCTTTGAAAGACAGAAACGTCAATTCAGCGCTCTGTTTCACCGTAATGCTTGCGGTTCGGAGAGAAAAGGACATCGTTGCGTAATCTGCGGTGTTCAATATGCGAATACTCGAATACTCTGCTGAATACTCTGCCTATTCTGCTGAGGTGTCAGCCTGTCAGGGAAATATATGGAAAGGAAAATAAAACTGAGAATTGGAACGGAAATTAACGAAATGTCCGCATTTCACGCATAAAAACCTGTGCAAGCGTGAGGAGTCAAGGTTTCCCCTTAGGGTGTACAGGCACCTTAGGAAGTTTCGGAACTAAGGAGCCCTCATTAATCAGGAGAGCGCAGTTGTTGTTCTAATGACGAACGAAGTTCTTCGTACCGCGGGTTCTTTCCCATACTCAGTGGGTAATCAAGAACCCCCGGGAATTCATGGTCTACGGCATCAATGGCCTGGTGCAGTGCCTCCACCGCCGTCTCGTCCGGAGCCGAGCGTCGTATTTTGGTGTCTGCAACATGCGCACACGTTACAGCCAATTGAATGTACAGGAAGGCGGGGGAGCCCTCTACGCTGCATTTCGCCCCTACCATGAGGGTGGCATGCGCAAGGGTGGGGAAAACGGCGAATAGAACAAATATCAGTTACCAAGTGTGTGTCTGAAGTGCCTTTGCCCTGGCATGCCACTCAAAACGCCGAGAATTGGCTTCAGTAGGACAAAAGGGCTTTTGGGCTCGTCCACGCGTGCTTCGTAGCGCTCCAGGTAGTCCGTGTATGCCTAGGAAGCAGGGAACGACGCGCAAACAAGTCCATGCTGTTGTTTTCTTGTGGCCAGAAGTAGTCCAATCAGTACTTAACGCACCATGAGGAGGCTTCGTCTGCAGTGTGCACTTTCAGGGTTGGCGCTTGCTCCTGCAGTAGAGAAGCGAAACCACAAGGCTTCTCAGTTCCAATGGAACGACACATGACCGTTGTCGTGAAGGGCAGCAAAAGGGAAACGACACTGTCAAGCATAAGTGCCTAGGGTAAAATCTTGAATTTTCGTTCGCGGGACTGGCCCCTACCGTAAATTAGCTTATCAGCGTGGGCAAGACAGCAAGGGTCATTCATGGCGGCTCTGCCAATCATTACCCCGTGCAGCCCTCCGAGGTGCA